GTCAACGCTCTCTGGTTTCATTTAAAAGAGTCGATCATCAGATATTGTCTAAGATTAACATTCAGGGTGGATATAGCTCGCTAGCAGCCTCGCACCGATGACCTAGTTGATGTCATCATTTTCCCAGAATGCTTTGCATGTAAATAAAATGGCCCGTCTGTAAAAATTATAAAAACTGAACATCCTAAAGTATTTTTACAGTCTTTATTTTACAGTTAAATTATGTGTTTATCATATAAAGTTTAATGTTACAACTAATCATGGATCCCTTTTTAAGAAGTCTCCACAACCCAGTTCAAGGGAAAGGAAGTGTCTTTATTAGCAGAAGTTAGATCAAGAAATGCCACCATCAGCAGTTGAGTTTTGTCTTAATCAACGGGAATAAAAGTTGAAATCAAAATGTAAGTTTTTTTTTACTTTTCTGCTAAATAAACTTGTGGGAATTATTCATCAGATGGGGTCGCTGGCATGACGCAGCACATGCAAAGTACGACCACGTTGGTGGTTTTGTGGTAAAGAGCCGTGTAAACACGTTGCTTCATCAGGATCTTATCAGTGAAAAAATGCATCAGACTCTGGGAGGAACACCTCCTTCGCTCGGTGCTGCTGGTGCAGTAACTCTCTCTTCACTGCATCTGATTTTCTCTCTCTTTTCTTGTTATTTTACAACATCTGCTGCATGTTCTGGTGTGTAGTTTGTACTAGAACCAAACAGTGACATCAACATTACACTGACTGCTTTCGTCACACCCATCCTCCCACACAGACAGAGTACAAAGTATAAGACTGTAATTAGTGCCATAAAAGACAATAAAAGTAAAAGGTAAAAAAGAATAAAAGCCAATGTGTGAAATGGTGTATTTCTTTTTGTACTTTAATCAAATATGAACCACAGGTAATAAGTTCTGTTTACAACAAATTCAGATTCTAAAGCGTATATGTATGAGTTAGGACATGTAAACAAAATGATRATTTAATTATAAGTTATCAGTGTAATGCATGACTTCATTTTATAACACGATCCTGAGTACATCTCTGCCAAACTGTAGAAATTCTCCTAAAGCTTCCTGTATTTAGTTTCCTTCATTTGTAAATTTTAGCTAAACAGTGACAAACCTTCTCAGTCATGTCTGGGTTGTGTACACTCACACTACAGTCAGTAATTCACCGTCTGGAGGAGTGTCCTGTTTGCATATCTGAGGAAAAAAGCAAAGTCTCTCACCTCTGACTGAATATTTCCAAGTGAAGCAACAGAATATTTCCTGTCTTCAAACTAAAAAAAGAAGAATTATTTAGCATTGTTAGCTTTGCTTGCATTATGAAATGCTTAAAACTTGAGGAGCACTTTCAATACACAGAAAGTGTATAAAGAAAGTGATGTGAAGGTAAAATATCTGCTTGAGATCCTTTGCAATGAATTTGCAAATGTCATGTTTTATTTATTTTTTTTAACTAAAAGAAAAAATATGTGTGGTTTTTTGGCACAAGCTCTCTGTGTTATTTTTGCTATTTGTTTTAAAGCTGCAGTTGGTAACTTTGAAAAAACTTTTTTTTTACATATTAGTTAAAATTGTCAGTACATCCTGACAGTAGAATATGAGACAGATAATCTCTCGGTGTTCCTAAAACCATTTGCAGAACTACACTGCTCCTGGTCAGCAGTGGTGGGCAGCACTAATCTAAGAATGAGTTCCACTAGCCCTAAAACACTGACTCAAATATTTAGGTCCCCTAATTCTAAAGCACTAAAGCACTAAAATAACCCAGTCAACCCATTGAACGTTCGACAGGCAACATCGAGTCACATGTGTTGCCATGTTGCTCTCTTAAGACTTTTCATTGACATTCTACAGCCGTATTTGAGTTCATGTATTGTCGCCTGGTGGATAAGTGACACAAACAGCGGGTAAAATAAGTATTGAAAACGTCAGAAACAACCCAAGTGATCCATACATACAAAGAAATCAAACCATAAATGTCCAGAAATGAAGTTATTTGTAATAATGTGGAATGGCACAGGGAAAAAG